CAGTCTTCCTGCCTTCAGGGAGGTGTCTTCCTCCTTCAGCCCCTCTTCCCACCCTACAGCTTAATCACACCAAACCTCCTTCCTCCTGTCTTTACTTATGCAGCTCCCCCAAACCACAAGACTCCTCATAAAGGTAAAACCCCTCAGTAAAGGTAAAACTCCCTGGGAAGCACATGCAAAGTGCTTGATGAACTGAGTACCACCCTACTTCCCTAGCCTCACCTTTGTCTGTTCCAGAATGTGCTAGGCCCTCTATACATCTTGAGGCTGCTATGCCATTCCTGCTGCCAGGAATCCCCATCAACCCCCTTACCCTGGCAAATGGCCTTCACAGCTTCTAAGGCTGACTTCAAGTCTGAGGAGTCTCTGATACCTTTCCTTTCCCCCCCTCAGGGCACGCCTCTGTGCCCAGGTGCCCTGTATAACTTGTTGGTCAGAGAACGTAAGGTGCAGCGAGTGTGGTTTCCCTGCCTGTCTGTGGGCTGTGAGCTCTCAGAGAGCAAATTCTCTTCGTCTCTGGTGCTCCGCACTGTGCCTGGTCCCACGGAAGGTCTGACACACAGGTGCTAAGTGAAGGGCTCAATTTGGGACATCCCCACCTAAACATCACATCCCAGCTGATGCTTCGTTGTCACCGGGGTTCCTTAGTTCAGGGCACTGTGGTCCATCAGTCACCCCGACTAGACCTCTGTGGCTTCCCCCTCCCTGCCTCCCTCACTGCGCGCTGTTGTTTTTGTTTCAGAGCTCACAGAGCTCTGCCACTTTCTCCCCCTTCTGGTTTGGGCTCCCACCCATTTTTATCTCCCACTCGACTCTTTGAAATGGTCTCCTGACTTTGTTCTCTGGATCAGTGTTTCCTTTCTGCCATAGCCTCTCATGATTTTACTTCTTCTCATGCCTGATCTTGTCATTCTCCTGCTGCCTCGGGGCTCTCCTGTCGCCTCCAGAACAAGTCAGAGTCCTCAGCAGGCATCCCCTCATGGCCTGCCCCGAGCAGCCTTCTACCCTCCGTTTCCCTGCGCGCTGCCTCCTCCCCTTGTGCGCCCCACCTCAGGGGCTCCTGAAACAGTGGACCCCGGGAGCCCAGCTTTGTGGTGAGCGCTGTGATGAGTGACACCTTGAGCTACTTGCCTTTAGGCAACAATTTGAGACCAAATACTTGGGATAGACTGAATGAAGCAAATGCCTACACTGTGACCTTGACCCCAGTGAGTGTTCCTGTTCCCAGCCTCCATTCCAGTCGCCACAAAGGGTGCCTCCAGCAGCAGCCTTTGCGTGGTTTTGGATGACAGCTGTCAGATAAATATTCCTTTACCAAAAGCTTGGTTTTCCTTCCAGGCTTGCTAACCACTCATCTTTCTGCCTGAATAACAGCCTTGGGAGGGTCTATATAACATTGGAGGTGCCGTCAGTAAACCCTTCGTCAGTATATCTTTTCTAAGGGTCCTTGTGCAGCATCTGAGAGTGTAAAACATCCCATAGAGCCATTCTAGAGTGGCAAAGAAATCTTATTTGAGGAACTCCATCTAGAATCTAAAATTTAGGCCACTTCTTTTGCTGAACTACAGCTATAAAACTGTGGGATTTATATTCCTCTTTATAGGCCCTACAAAGCTTGCCTACTGCAAACTAAACAGATACAGTTTTGGACTTTGGATTGGAATAGCATAGGGTTAAGAACTTGGGCTTTAGATTTTGAGATTGGCAGATCTGAGTTGAGTCTGTGCCCTGCCAGTAACTAGCTGTGTGATTTTAGAAAGTTAATATCCTTTCTAAACCATTGACTTCTTGTTTGTAAATGATGATTATAACAGTACCTACCTCATAGATGCATTGTAAGGTTTAAATGTGATAATATGTAAAAAACACTTAACAGCAATGTCAAGGATCTAGAACAGACTCAGTAGTTGTTAGCAGCTATCTTTATGATTGTTATTACTAATATGTACTCTTCATCCAAACTCCAGTGTGGCAAATCTTGTTGCAGAGATAATGATGCCAGCTCACCTTAGAGGGTGTGGATTAATTAGCTCAGGTTGGTAAAGCATTACATAAAACCTTTGCGTACAATAGATTAAGTATCGGTAAGATTAAAGTTGGTCTTGTTCAAAAGACTTTCTTGTAATGTGCTGTGTACAGGAGAGGTTTGTTGCTTTTCAGGGCAAATGACAGGCCATTTATGCACTTATGGTTTATTCCCAGTGAAATTATACTGGTAGAACAGAATCTTGCAGCCTGGAATCACACACATCTGAAAATACACAGCATTTTCTTAAGGTCTTTCTGGACCTGGCAGAGTCCAGTTGCACACAGTCATTTTGGAGAGCAGCTGTTGTATGTCGCACGCCTTCCTTTCCTGAGCTACAATGGAGTTGTGTGAGTGGCCCACAAGTGCCTGTTCCTTAACCTGGGTGTATTCTGCTGTGGGCAGCTCCTTAGCAGGTTTTTGCATTATATTTGAAGCACTTGCCAATAAGCGCTAGAGAAGAGAAGAATTCAAGTACCTTTTGATTCTTGTTTTGAAGGCATGGAGGTCGGTTGTCGTATCTGTTGACCAGTCTTTAAAGGATATAGATATGGGGGAGCAATATTTTGGACTTAGCTAAAATAAAGAAAAATATGACTTAGAAGATTAAAAAATGTTCCTTGAATCTGAAATGTTGTAGATTAATGTTCCTGAGGGAGGTATGGCAGAAGAGTGGGTCTGTAAGACATTTACTATCTAAAGCAGCCCAAGCTGTTTATATCCCCTGGGCTGGCCTCTTATTTTTATAAGCAATGTTTAATTGAACAAAGCCACATTCATTCATTTATGTATCGTTTATGACTGCTTTCATGCTACAACAGTAGAGTTGAGCATTGTGGCAGAGATCGTATATCTCACAAGCCTAAATAATTACTATCTGGTCCTTTATAGGCAAAGTTTGTCAACTCTGGACTAAATCATGGGCCTTCTCAGCTCTTGTCTCAGCAGGACTTGGGATCTTAGTACTGTTGAAGGATGTAGATTTTCGAATCCGATGGACCTGGATTCACATCCCAGCCCTGGTGCCTAACTAGCTCTGGGACCCTGGTCAAGTGGCCTAACTTCTTTGTTCCTCACTTTCTTCATCTGTGAAATTGATATAATTAGAACCTGCCTTATTAGGGTTATCAGAACTAAATGAGGTAATATATGGAATGCACTTTGCATGGCATCCAGCATGAATTAAATGCTCTGTTGAACGTTAGCTGCTGCTGTTAACAATGATTCTGTGGGTCTGCAAATCATAATCCACACGATGCTGCCCGTAGGCAGGTGCAAAGGTAGATTGAACAAATCCATCTTTTGCCACTGCTACTAACTAGAGAGGAGGAAGAGGGATTTTCTGGTGCAGCAGGGTACCAGCCCAGTGAGTGGACTAAGGCCCTTGTTCCGAAGCACTCTGATCTTCCGAACATGCCGGAGGTGGTCAACAGACAGTATTTCCTGGCAGATTGCTTCATACCAGTCCAATCTGGGTATTTTATTGCCTCCATTTGTGATTAGGGTTAGGAAGTATTTTCTCCTCACACCCTGATTCCAGGTATCGTTTTAAACTTGGAATTTAGATGAGCATTCTAACCATGTTCACTTATTTAGTCCTCAAATGCTTGTTGAGAGACTGCCATGTGCTGGGAACTATTGCACACCCCCATCTCAATGCAGGACACAGTGCCCGTGCGTTGATTCACTTGCCTTTCTCTTGGCTCTGAGGCTGCCCGCTCTGGTTAGGTTTGAGAGGGGTAGCACCCCAGTAGGATGCCAAAACCAGGAACTTTCATTATATTTACTTTATGGAAAAAGGGAGAGAGCCACAGTTTAGGTCTATTAATGCCTGTTCCTTGGGGCAGGTGAAGTTAGGGAACAGGTTGGCTTAGCTGTCTGCAAACAGGGTCCAGAAAAGTAAGATTAGGCTCCAATGGGCCTTGCAAAGGAGGACCACAGAGAATATAATAAGCTCCTACAGAGCTCAGATCTTATTCCTAAAGGAACAGCAAAACCCAGGAGACTTAGGAAGTGAGTGGAGGCCAAGACCAAGCAGGCCGGTGCTTTCCTCTCATCTGCTCCAGGTCAGACCCTGGGGTTCTGCCCCTCTGTTAGGAATAAGTCCTGAAGCTTGAACTGAGCTATAGGAACAAAACAATGTTTTCTTGGCATCCACAGTGAGGGGACAGTTGTAGAAAATTGCTGTGTAGCCATAGATTAGAGGGATTAATAGGAGGGAAAATGGAGAGTTTTGGCCAGTAAAAAACAGCACAAAACAGGCCTCCCTGGGCATTGTAGCCATGCTTCAGTGTTACCATCCATCATTACCCACCTGGTACTCTTAAGTTTGGTGGAATCTGTTCATGTCATAGTGCTGCATAAATTCCCATTGCACTTGGAGTCTAAATCTGGGCGTGGAGTTCTGCCGACCCTCATTCTGCATGCCAGCCCTGCCTCGCCCCCAGCTACACTCCCCTGTGCAGCTCTTCAGACAGGCTGTGCACTTTTCCCATGTGTTGGTCCCTCCTTCTGGGAAGCTCATTCTGTGGCTAACTCCCATTCTTTCTTCAGAGGTCTGCTTAAAACACCTCTTCTTTAGAGACCACATGGGCCCCCCGTCAGCGCCTACTAACGCGTCCAGTGTTTCCTTTGCAGTTCTCATGCTTGCAACTACTTTTTGATGTCTGCCTCCCCAGTAAACCCCATAATGACAGGGACAATGTCTTTTTTGGCTGTTTGGCATATTCTGATTGTCACTGCATTTGTTCATTGACTGAATGACCACAGGGAGCAGTAATTTGTAAATGGTGCGGGGGAGGTGGGAGACAAGCTTTAATCTTTTAATTTGTTTTGGTTTTGTTTTCCAAATAACTTCCGAACAAAATGCTATTTTACGACATATACTACTTTTAAGGAATTCTCTGAGGTGGCATTTTTCAGTGGCTGTCTATGTATTGGACAAATCTTACTTGCCTTTCTCTTCTCCTGACAGAATGAAATGTGCCTGGCCACACAACAGCTTTCTAAGCAACTGCTGGCATATGAAAAACAGGTAACTTGGTATTTATGTGGCATGTGATGCTGTGCTCAGGACTCTCTCAAGTGGGGTTCTTTTAAGGAATTCTCCAGAGACATCTTTGAGATACTCTCTTTCTTTCTTTCTTTCTTTTTCTATAGTTCATTTCCACTTTTTCTTTGTTATACCTTTTCCTTCCCACTGGTAAATTCTAACTAGAGATTATGCCAAAATCTTTATGATGTGTTCTAATTACCCAAAGAAGTAATCAACTACCTTGAAGGTTCGTAGTCTCCGAGGGACTGCAAGTGAATCAACACTAACAATTCCAGCAGGAAATAACCTCAGGGAACCATCATGTCCAGGCAGAAGAGTGGTGGCCACCGAAGGAATGGTTCAGGAGGGGTGGCTGGGTGTGCTGCTGGGGCAGGAAAGGGGAAGGCTCTCGTCTGCGGTGAGACAGTCCGACGTGACGTGCTTTGGGAGAGAGGAAGAGGAGTGGAGGGCGGTGTGTTGGGGGTTGATGCTGCAGTGCTGGGTTCCCAAGCACTCAGTTCACACCTGCCTCTTTTATTCTTTGGTCTTAGAATTTTGCTCTTGGCAAAGGCGACGAGGAAGTAATTTCTACACTCCACTATTTTTCCAAAGTGGTGGATGAGGTAAGAGAGCAACATGGCAAATTTTTATTTGATTCTTGAACTTTCTTTGTCTTCAGTTTGGCCCAGCTTCCATTCTTAGGTATCTGCTTCAGACATCTGAAAAGATACCTCAATTTGTCGATCTTCCAAGATTCATTCCAAACAACATGAACTTCTTTATGTTTGATTCTGATTTGAGGGGTAAAGGCTATATAGTGTGCATGAACAATAGACCAAAAGAAAGATTTCTAAGAATTCAGTTTCCTAAGGAGGATGTGTTTGTTTCTCAAGGCTACTGTTATAAATTACAAGTAGGTGACTTAAAACAATAGAAAATTGATTCCCTCACAGTTCTGGGGCCAAAGTGTGAAATCAAGTTAACAGAGCCTTGCTCCCTCCAGAGTCTTTAGGGGAGAATCCTTCGGCTCTTCTGGCCTCTGGTGGCTCTCGGTGTCCCTTAGCTTGTGGCCGCGTCACTCCACTCTCTGCCTCTGACTTCACGTGACCTTCTCCCCCACACTCCACCCCGAGGCTTTTTCTCTTCTGTCTGTGTCTTCTCTTTGTAGGGACACTGTCTTCAGTTTATAGAATAAGAAACTAACAGTCATATAAAATTATACTGGTTGCATTTTCAGTCAACAAATCAGTCTAACAAGTTGTTATTCATTCAATAAATATTTATTGACCACCTAATATGTAGTAAATGCTGTTCGTGGTACTGAGGTTATAACGGAACAAGTCATGCAGTTCCTTTTGAGCTTTATCCTGTCCCACTGCCATTACTGTCTTCAAATGTACAACTTTCTTTAATATGTATGTTGAAATGGATGGATATCTATTCCAGAAGAGGAGGACAATGAATGAAAATGTAATTAGAAAGAAGCAAATAGTAAATTTTTTGGCCAGGTGAGAAGAAGCATGTTTCTTAATTAACAGAGAGAAATAACCCAGGGGAAGGAGTAATAGATTGCAGCCACTGACACATGTGTTTTCTGACTGGAAGAGATGCTAAGGAGATACGGTTAGTTGTCAGAACCCCAAAACCCGAGATTTCCAGTTTAAAACATTGACAACCATATTTTCAGGGACCAGAATGATGATTCTTTAAATAGAAAGGAATCATTCCCGAAGTATGGAAGTGATATTACAGGCAGGATCCTGGCCTCCTGGAAGCTTAGCAGTGTAAGCCGTTTTCAAACAAGCCTCTTGATGGGGAGACCTAAGTGAGTGAAAGCAGTTAGCTCAGGTGGGAAGTTCTGAGGAGCTTTTGTGGTAGTTTTATCTACCTGGGTGTAAACCAGGTGAAAAAATTTTCAACCCAAGTAGTTTGAGAAATTAATGAAAAATTCAAACAAAAGTAGAAATTTTTATGGCATATATTAAATGGAATGCCTCATAACCAGATCTTCCATGTTGTAGGCTTACAGATATTTCTATCGTTGTTTTAAAAAAAAATGTTTTAAAACCCAAAAGCAAGGTTTCACTTCCTTGGAGGGCACCTGGCACAGGGCATCACTATCATTACAAATTGCTTTTACCAGGTGTATGTTAGGCCCTCTTCTGAGTGTTTTCTCTTCATGTTACTGTTTTATCCTCACGATAGCCATGCAAGGAAGATGGCATTTTCGCCATTTTGTATGACGATGCTGAAGTACCAAGAGGTGGTCCATGCTCTTCCGCAATGGCCAGGTTTAGAAGTGATTGTCTCATACCTCTGAAAAGCTCCAAGGCAAAAACTTGAAGACACAAACCCCTTGGTCCTTCAGGAGCAATTGGGAAGAAAATGCATAGCTAGGGAATTTGCCATTCCTGAAATGCATAACCACTGGAAAGACACTTAATCTCCCTGTATTTTGGTTCCTTCATCTATAAATGACAGTAGGAGGAGAGCCTACTTTTTATAATTGGGTAGTTATAAAGATTAAATGAAACACTGTATATCAGAGCATTGAGCACAGAACCTGGCACATAATTGGTATACTTGCTGGCTTTCATTCAGTTACTGCTAGTGAAAAAACAACATACATGTTTCTTACTGAAGTTATTCAGGAAAAATAATTAATACATTCTATCCTGATGGCCTTTATTGGTGTGTCTGTCTTTATGTATCCCCAGCAGAATGAAGCTGCCAACTTCGGCTTGATTGAAAGATGGAACACAAACTGCTAGGCCTAGGGCTCACTTGCCTGGCAAATAGTTGACCTTAGGCAAGTCTTAAAGCTCATCAAAACCAGAAGGACCAGATAACAGATCTGTTAAGTAACAGCGGGCAGAGCTGTGTGCAGAAAAGGGTTCATGTTATGTGACTGCGATCACTGCTGAAAAAAACTTCACCAAATATTTACTTCAAAAAACGATTGCTGGGTGATTTCTCCTTATTCACTCAGCAGGAATCTTGGAGCATCTGGAAGTCTTGGGGCCAGTGGAAGAATCCCTTCTGCTGTGTTCATTGCTAATATCTAGACTGTCAAACGTTTGAAGTTTGGGAAGCTTTGAGAGCAGGAAAGATAAATTCTGTATCCAAAACAGTGTAGTGGAAAAGGCACGGATTTTAGATCTCAATAACCCGGGATTAAAATCCCAGCTGTGCCGTCCATTTGCTCTCTCAATTTGGAGATTTATTTGCCTTTCTGTAAACTGAGGATGATAAATCTGACTCACAGAGTGGGTGAGAACTAGATGTAAGACATTTAAAGCTGGCACACAAAAAGTACTTGAAATGGTAGTGCTGATGGGGTCATTTTCATTTCTCCTAAACCATTCACAACAAGATTTAGTAAGGCCTTAATAAGGCAGAAGGGGAGAAAAAATCAAGAGCCGTTAAAATTATCCAGTACGAAAGATCGTGTTGAAATATAGTCGTCTTGTTCTTAGAAAGATCTTTTTCTAAGGAACAGAGGCCTGAAATCTCACTGAATTGGTCCTGTGGGGCGCTTTTCTCCTCCAGAGTGACTCCCAGACCCACAGCCGGCTGTGGTTTTAGGGCTGGTAGGCTCCCAGCAGGCCTGTTGTTTAAGTGTGACTTCAGCCTCCCCTGAGAGGGGGAGCGCTCCCATTGGCCTGGTGATGGGGACGGGGGTTGAGAGCACTTGGGGGGAGCTGCGCTTGCCACAGGCACACCAGAGCACTCTCCAGCTGCAGGTGGTGCGGCCCAGATTGAGAATGCAGCCAGGGTTTGCACAGTAAACAGGAACCACGCATGAGAGACTCATTTGACAAACTTACCTGATGCCCCAGTCAGGTAGAATCTTGCATTTAGTTTTTAGTACCTTTAGACCTATATCATTTACTGCTTTATGAAGGGTATTTACTTGCTAAGGAATCCAACTGAGCTCTTTAACCACATGGAAGTGTTCAGTGTGATCCTTTGGTGAAATCAGACAGTATCATTACTACTGGATATAATTTTCTTCAAAAAGATTTCTCTGTCTTGCAGCTTAATGTTCTCCATACAGAACTGGCAAAACAGTTGGCAGACACAATGGTTCTACCTATTATACAATTCCGAGAAAAGGATCTCACAGGTAAAGTACCTGAGTTCAGTGCCCATTACCTTCAATATGTTAATTCATCTAATAACAAGTCTTACTGTATTCTTCAGACATGTGGATATTGAGAAATACCCTTTTTTTGGAGCAGTTCAAATATTACTAACTTTTATTGAATCCCCACTATGTTCTTGGCTCACCTAAAGGGAGGTTACAGGCTCATAAGAAAACAGACTTGGAAACAGACCATTGGAATATACCATGATGAGGGCAGCAGGACAGACATGTACAAGAAATAGAAACAGTACACACAACAGCCTGCTTACCCTTTTGAGGACAGGGTGTCAGGGAGGCTTCCTGGAGAAGGAAGTCTCTGAGCTGGATTCTGAGAGATGAGTAAGTGTTTTTCAAGTAGACAAAGATGGCAAGGCCACTGTTAGAAGTCGGAAGCAATGGTAACAGCACACTGTTCTTGGGGAGCCATGAATGCTTTGGAATGTAAAGTAAGAGGACGGGATGGGACCATGCCGCATTCATGCGAGATTCTGGGGGTGCAGCTGTAAACAAGGCGGACGGGGCCCCTGTTCTGGAGCTCCCGTTTAGTGAGTGGGGCCATCTGTGACTAGTTCAGGGAGCCTGGTTGCCCTCTTGGTTGATTTTGGTTCTTCAACTGAAATAAAACATCAGTGATTTTGTATCTCTTAGAAATCAAGGTTGTCAAAAAATGAATATAAAAGAGAACAAATGATCTCGAAAAAACTGAGTTGATATTACAAAATGGAATCCAGATTTTCTAGTCTTTTTGATTTTTGCTTAGAGATTAAAGAATTATATTTTCTAGACACAGATACAAAAAAGAATTCTGACCAAAAAAGTCTAAACCTGAGCACTGAAAAGATCTGGTTGGTATAATACTTCCTCTTAAAAATATAAGACACCCCTTAAAATTAAAAAAAAAATTTTAGGCAGAAAAGATACAGTAAATCAAAGGGCAAGTCTTAAAGATGACTTTTCCCCCCTTACTTTAAGACTGCCTGTGATCACGTCAGCTGAGGCTATAGGGGGCAACAGCGGAACTGGCATAAACTCTACCCAAGGGCAGTTTACTAGCAGTAAAACTTGATAAAGAATAATGAGTAATGTATCAATTTGTATAAAGAGTAACCTGATTGAGCAGGACTTTTAGTCTTTTTTAGTGTTGCTTATCCATTATTGCACATAAATCTAAAACCTAAATGTAGTTCTATGTTGATTATACAATACTTAACTGCAGCCTCATGAATGTATTTTAAAAATATATTTACTCTAGATAGAAATGTGTGGGGATATCATTTAAAGATACTCCAGGTATTTTGGAAAGAAAATAATCATCCCCTAAATTGTCCAGTTTATGTCTTTCAGCTTTGTTAATGGGAGGCAAATCTGGGAATGGGTGTCCAGCAGTAGTAATGACAGTGGCCTTTGTTTATCCAGAAGGGCTCAACTATGTGGATTAGAAGTACTTGCCCAAGATGGTGCTTTTTTTAAATAAAGAGATAAAACTGCCTGGTATTAATAAAAAGAGAAGCCATTTAGTATCTATGAAAATAAGTATCCTTTTCTGATGACACCAAGATACAAATTTGAAGTGTTTGGCCCAGGTCATACTTTACTCAGCATTAAAACCAAATTAGAATCTGGCATCCCCTCTCTTTAGTGGTGTTTTATCTTATGTTCTGCTGCTTTTTTCATTTACCCACCAATACAAGTACATAATCTGAATGAAGAGAACACAAAAGATGTTAAGGAAGCTATTTAAAATTGATAAAGAATAAGAAATCCCAAAATTCTGCTCCAATAAGAAGTAAAAGGTGTGAGGAAAAAAATGCAAAATGGCAAAGGCAGAAAGCAGCCTGGTAGTAGAAAGAGTAATGTGAAGAAAAATTTAAAAACTGGAGGCAATTTTGTGGCAAATTGAAAAACAGCATAAAACATGTGAAAAAGATTGCTTTAGAACTGTAGAAAGTATCACTTTCTTTTATTAAAGAACTCTATTTTTATAAGTTTTTAACCTTGGACAGTCATTGCCCTTATTGCCCTTTTTGTGTTTTTGGCCTTGGCCTTTGTTAAGTCATGTTTGTGTGTGATGGGTGTAGCAACCTCATGGGGTGACACTTACTGGTGTTGGCTTGTTACAAGTATAATATGCTATAGTGCTTCAGATTTTTGCATTAGGACAACCACCCCATATTCCTTTGTCAATGGTGGCTATGTCCAATGTTAAAATGGCAGTGACAGGAAATTTCTAGGTTTTGGGTATAGTTAGGGCATTCTGAGAAAAGGTGTACTAAAAATGTATTAGAACACTTTTGAGGGGTTGGGGAGGCACTGAAGAACCAGAGCTTATGCTCTTGCCAGGTCTCCATGAACAGTAGTACCTGGCCATGCACACTCTAGCCCCCATCCCCGAGTGCCGCTCCGTCCTGGAGCCCTGAATGCTGTCTGGACAGGAGTGTCTCTGGGGGCACTCAGGGTCACTGAGTGTGGGTACAGCTGAAGGCCCAGGCTCTGTCAGACCCTGGTTTCCAGCCACCAGGCCGGGGCTCCCAGAGCGCAGAGGAGCTGGGAGGGAAGGGGTGTGCTGACAGAGCCTTTCCCCTTCCGCACATATACCTCTGTTTTCTTGGGAAAGCAAAGAGCTCTGAGTTGGCATATTTTACTTTTCTTTGCACTAAGATGTTCCTTTTCTCTTGTTTAGAAGTAAGCACGTTAAAGGATCTTTTTGGACTCGCCAGCACTGGTAGGCATCTTCTCCATTCTTGCTGAGTTAGTGATGCATGTGGGTCAGTATGTGTGCAGGTGGGGACTCCGGATGAATGTTCTTGTCCTTCGACCCATCTGGGTGCTAAAATGTGTCTTTATTTTTAGAGCACGACCTCTCAATGGCAAAATATAGCAGGCTTCCTAAAAAGAAGGAGAACGAAAAGGTAGGCCTACTTTCATTGACATGTTGTTTTCATCTCGTTTACTTAAACTTCTGTGTCTTTTCCACTGTGAATTTGTGGCATTGAGGGTGTCTTGAATTTTTTTCTCTTTTTTTTATCTATATGTGGAATTTTAAATAATCTGAATCTCCTAAGTCGACTTATTTTCAAACTGGTTTTTAGTATCAACTTGGAACCATTATAAAATTATAATCTCACAATGATTTCAGCTTAAGCTTGGTACTGCATATGGTCATCTTGCTCATAGACACACAGGTCACTTGAGCGCCTGGCCCTGAGTATTGATTCCAATTCTTTAACTTACACTTTTTTGCTACTGCGAATAATACTGAATATTTTTATCATATAACTTTTTACTTTTGTTACGTGATTTCCTTGGGCTACATTACTTCCTTGGAGTACAGGCTTAGGAGTGGACTGAAATGTCTGTGGCTGTCAGTGCGTGCTGCCACGCTGTGTTCCTCGAGGTTACAGTGCTTTGCGGTGCTGACAGGATGAACTGTTGGCTTCATCTCAGGGCAGCCTCACAAGTGCTGAGATGCTATTACTTTGGTATTTTTAATTTGGATTTTCTAAAACATGAGGTGGAACCTTATCTGTGTTTTGTTGTATTTGTCACAGAAATGGTTCTAATGAGTAAATGAATGTGTTTTGAAGTTACCTGCTCTTACAGAATATCACATACATTAGACAACTTGGAGTTTTCCTTCCCCTCCTGATCAGGTGAAGACTGAAGTCGTAAAGGAGGTGGCAGCTGCCCGGCGGAAACAGCACCTCTCTTCCCTCCAGTACTACTGTGCCCTCAACGCGCTGCAGTACAGAAAGCGCGTGGCCATGACGGAGCCCATGATAGGCTTTGCCCACGGACAGGTAGGGCCGTCCCTGCCCCTGAGAGGTATGACCTGAGCCAGCCGTGAAGAACAGCTTGGTTTTCTACAAGGGCAGCACTTAGGTGAAACTAACGCACCATAAGAGAAGGCAACCCAAATGCACCACCTCCCTGGAAACTTTCTGAGATTCAGCCCTTGGAGAGCTTCCAGGTGGGCTGGGTCATTATCTGCTGGACTTGTTAGGCTATGTGTGTAGGAAATGATGGCCTTTATCCTAACCCTCCCTTTGGGAGGAGCCAGCTTGGCCCTTTGTGTCTAATGCAAATGAAAGCCAGGCCCGGTCTGATGTCCTGAGAGAGCTGATTGCTCAGGTTGATAGAGGCAGGCTCACGAGCTAGGACTCCGCATGTCCCCTGCTGCCCTTTATGGTAAGGGGCTCGCTCAGCTGAGCTGTTCTCGAATGATGCGTCGCTGAGGTCGCTGCCAGCCCCTTGGTATCTGGGGTTTAGGGAGTTTCGCCACTGCTTGGTGAAGTCTCTGGGGAGTAAGTGTTTGGCTTCTGCTCCCATTTAGTGGCCTCCTGAGCATTTTGTCTGCTTGGAGTCCCCAGTCTCAGAATGGGGCCTTGACAGTGTCTCACCAGCAGGGCAGGGACAGGAGTGAGTGTGAATGTGAGGTGACTAGCACCCCCACCTCCATCCCTGCCCTGCCATAGCCCCACTCCTGTAGGCGCCAGAGCCTCTCTCTGTTATGTGAGAATCGCACCCAGGAATCTTCTCTCACCTAACAATCTAGGAACAGAAAAGGATGTGAAGAAGTAAAATGATGAGAAGAAAAAACCCACTTTTAAAAACCCTACATGTGTGAGCATCTAATACTTCTATAATACATTTAAAAATACATGTATTTCAAAACCACACAACATCAGCTTCATTCAGGGAAAAGGGGAACAAGAAAGGATCTTAAACATTCCAAGCTCAATTGTCTGTCTTTTAATATGGTTGCTGACATTGTTCAATGGTGAGGACACTAAAGTCAATGATGCCTTCAGAGTAAGTACTTATGTAGATCGCTTCCTTTTGGGGTCATCTCAGTAAAGCTGTGCTAAACCAAAGGCTAGCCTCGCCTGGCTCTGGGCCCATCCTCAACAGAGGCCTGGGAGCCACCCAGCATCCCCTCAAGGGCACGTGTGTACTCGCTCACTCTGTCACCCTCTTCCCTCCTTCCATTAACTATTGCACCTGTACCCTGGCGCTGTCCTGGCTTCGTTAGAGAGTGCTGGTACTCCCATGCTCTCTAATACCTCCATCACGTCTGCCCTCCCAGGACTGACAGTCCTCGCCTTTGGAGCAGTAATTCCTGCTCACTAGGGGGCCCAGGGCCAGGGAGGGTCCCAACCTTAGCGGCTCAGAAAGATGAGCCGCTGCAAACTCCATCGATCACTGTCAAAGAGTCTGGTTGGCTAGAGGAGGGTCCTCACGAGGCCTGAAGGAAGGGCTTGCTCCCAGCTGGTTTTTCTCTTTCATGGCTAAGGACGACACCACTTTGCCCAGTCTGGACTTCTAAGTGAGTGCTGGCTGCAGGGGACAGGAGGGGGCTCTGGCTTGCAGCCCTATGCCCAGGAATGCAGAACAGAGCCACTGTTTTGGGGTAGCCACAGCAACATTTTGAGGACTGAGGATAGCACATTGCCTTTGTAATGTGACAAATACCCAGATATCAAGACACAAGGCCAGATAGTCCCTCACCCTGCAGACTTCTCAAGTTCTGGTGAAACTGACCTTCCCTGTTAGGCCAGGCTCTTGTCTAACCCCACGAATCCCTTGGATCACTTTGAAACATTCACTCTCCTCCTGCCTCATCAGCCCTTTTACAAATCAGTAATGTTCACTGAGTATCCACATTTGTTAGCTGGTGGTCACCTGACCATGTACTTTCTGCTGCTCACAAAGCACATGAACCTGGTCTTTGGGTGATGGTCCACTGAGTCAGGCTTCTCGGCACCACCCACCTTCGTGTGAGTTGGCTGACTCCATGTCTGCCTTCCCTGCCCCTCGTTAAACAGGTTTTCAGTTAAGCCATGGTTCAGTCTGCATGCCCAAAGCAAACTGAGGTTTGATAGTCTGTGCACAGGTTTATGAGAACAAAAATGAACTCTAGTGTCATATTTACCAGGGGAGTACTGTGAAGTGTGGCTGTAGAAGCCAGCATCTTATCACTTCCATTCACTGATGACAGATTTTTTTTTAGGGATTGCCTGAGCCCCTGCCCTGGGAGTTACAGTACAGCAGAGGACCTATGATAGGGACTCGGGGCACACAGTCTAAGGAGTTCAGAGAGGAGAAGAAGAGACGCTGTAATGTGTTCTTAGAAATGCAAAATGCTATTAACAGACTTGATTTTT